TTGTAGAGTTTTTTATTCAGATTTGACTTTTGCCTATAAAAGACTTTTTATGTAAGAATAGAAATATATGGGTTGTTAAAAAACAAAATTTTATAAAATACCTGCTGGCAACCCCTTAAATTAAATTAAATAATGAACACAATAAGGCCTAATGTGTTCTTTATAATAAAATAACACAAGATTTAAAAATTATTTGAATAAAAAAATATTTTCAGAGGTTGTTGCAGACCGAGCAATATTAAACGAGTCTCTAATATTATAGAAAAATAGTTTTCTTAAAGTATGTCGTGTTATATTTAAAACAGAGAAAACTTATATAAAAATTTCAAAAAATAAATCATTTTATAAAAAAGCAAACAAAAAATCATTATTAAAAATTTTGTAAAACTGCTCTTTTTTCATTTTTTATTTAAAATTGTCATTTATAATTTAACAATTAAATTATAAATGAAATATATAAACAATGTTTATATATAATTTATATATTAATAATATTTATATATTTCATTTATAATTTAATCATTAAATTGTAAATTAAATATATAAATAATAATAATATATAATTTATATATTAATATTATTTATATATTTTGATTATAATTTAATGATTAAATTATAAGATATATTAAATTTATGATTAAATTATATATAATATACTTACTTTTTTATTTATTTATATTGTAAATAAATAAAAAAGTATAAAAACATATTGTTTTAGACAATCATTAAATTTTAATTATCTAAAATAATTTTTTTTTTCTTATGTCATTTAAAATAAAGTAGTAAAAAAAATATGTTTTAGAATTAAATAAAAAATATATTAAAAAAAAAATTAATATAAAATTAAAAATAAGTTACAATTAAATGAAGTTACAAAATGGCATTTTGTAACTTAATTCAATAGTAACTCAATTTTATTATTTTTAAAAAAATATTTAGAAAAGAACAACATTTAGAAAAATACCTGCTTGTAACCCCTTGTTGTCTTTTATATAAAATAACCCTGATGTGTCTTTTATAATAAAATAACCCTGGATTTAAATTTTCCTTTGAAATTTTACCCCTGTTTAAGGCATAATATTTAGGCAAAATTGAGTATACGGAAGTCATTATTGTAGTCGCGTACAAATTATGTCTACATTAATAAAATTCTCATTTGTAGGAAAAAATGTTTATAAATTTTAGAATTGAGGTGCTACACTACCAAATAATCAAATACGTTCAAACTTAAAAAAAAGAAAAGATAAACTTTATTTCAATAAAAATTACATTAAATTATAATGCTATTTTAAATTTCATTTTACTTGCCTCAATTACTTTGCCTCGAATTTATCGAAAAACATTTATTGGGTCGATTCAAACCACGACAACTGAAATTTTTTATATATGTTCTAGACATGTAAGGTAATGTATTGACATTACCTTACATGTCGACCTTACTGAATTTTAAGAATTTCAAAGTACATAAAAATTATACAAATTTTTTCATATCAAATGAAAAAGAACTTTTTGCACCATAAAAGTTATTTTAAAAAAAGATTAGAGCAGAATTGAAAAATTTCAAAATGTCTTTTTCTAGAAAATAGTATAACAAACATATTCTGATAATTTAAAGTGACTTACACTTCTGTTTCTTAAAATATCATGCTTACAATCAGACAAAATTTGAAACCGGAGAAAAACGCAAAAGAAGATTAAATATTCTTGTCATTCCTATATATTTTTTTTTTAGTTAATTTATCGAAAATAAAAAAAAAGCTGCGTCTAAGCTAAAGTAAATAATATCAGGGCTGCCGAGAGGAGGGGGCGAAAGAGACAGCTTGTCCCGGGCAGCAGATACCTGACAAAAAATTATTTTCAAATCTGACAAAACGCTTTTTTTAAAGATTTTTTTAAAGAATAACTGCATAGTTTTTGACAAAGAAAAGTAAAAAATGCCCCGATTGTATAAAACTATGTGGTCAATCCTTCTGTTTTTAGATATAAAAAGTTAGAAAATTAGGTGTAACAGGTGTAAAAAAATCATTATATATGTATCATTTATGTTTATCAAAGTATTTAATCAGTTCATATTATCATTTTATCATTCTAAGCAGAAAAGGTAAAATAAGTATATTTTAAATTCAAACAGACTAAAATAGTGTTTTACCAAGATGAAATGGCATATATATAATGGCATATATAAGTTGATGAAGACTTTATCATTATTAGGTGTTATTTTTGTAATTATTTAAAAAATATTTAATGATTAGAATTACGGACCAAAATGATTTAATTTGAATTGCTTTAAGTGATTTTGTAGATTTATTCTGTTTGTTCCAAGAATGCATCCGTTGATATTACATACTAATATTGCAGTTTTGTGTATCTGACTTCATACTCATTAAAAATTCATTGGTTTTAACAATTATATTCTTAAAAGACTTATTTTGAGTTACTTTAATAGCGTGCAAGGTTTCAGGTTTTACAAGTTTGTTTTTCAAAAGATTTAGACTTTGCGCTCCATGAGCGCAATCCAGTATAAAATAGATTTTCACGACTCAGAATAACTAGGGTTAACTAATTATTAAAAATTATTCAATATAAATCTTAGGTCAGAGTGGATTGATAATGAGCCCTCATAAAACTCGTATGTCTGATTGGACACTTGAAACTATTTTTTTTATCGAACACAAATTACCGGTAAACTATTGTAATTTACCGATAAACTTACCGGAAAGAAAATGAGCTATTCTCTGGTAAACCAGAAAACCGGTATTGCAATCCTTATTTACCATCATCGTTATCATAGTTCTGTCTGTTACTCAGTTTTTCCTCATTAATGAATTGATTGGCTTTATTGTTTTTCG